AATTTCTGAATTTTATTTTCATTTGTGTAACTCAGAAATAAAATTCATATTATGATGTTTATATAAAAATAAATGAAAGACCTACTGGAAATATTGATACCTTTATAGTTAACTAGCTTTGCCTTTTTTAGATTCGATTAAATTTTCCCCTTCATCAGAAAATAAGTCACCTTCAATAATAGAGTATTGTGATTTTCTCCTTCCTCCAACCAGCCTTTTGCCTTTTTTAGATTGACTTTTACTAATAAAACTATAATATTCTTCAAATGAAGAAATAGCAGAATCATTGTTGGAGCTATTAGTTTGTATGTCCATTTTCAGAAGGTCTTCCGGAAGGTCAAAGTCCACTTCTGGAAGGCCAATTTGATACTTTTCGCCATTAGAGTATGGCTAATTTGTCATTAGAAATTAAATTTATATTATTAAAGTTTAATCTGTTTACATAAAAATAAATGAAAAACCTACCGGAAATATTGATACCTTTATTATTATTGTTTATTTGATACTTTTCTTTGTTACGTAGTATAAGGCTAATTTATTATCGGAAATTAAATTTATATTATTAAAGTTTAATTTGTTTACATAAAAATAAATAAAAGGCCTACTGGAATATTTATACCTTTATAGTTTATTTGTTTTAATCACTGTATATTCATTCATATTAAAAATATATATAAGTTTAATTTTTTTATAAAATTCAAAAACCGATCATTAAGCATTAACAGCATTAACAAAAAACCAAAGTATAATTATCAAAATGAAAAGTATATTTGTTAAAACAAAAAGTATATTTGTCATTTATATAATAATAGCTCAAAGTTTTATAGTCATATTGGCATTCCAATAAATTCATTAAAAATTCGAATCGTATATAAATAAAGTTACCTTCTTAGTTCTTATTTTCGCTCGTATATTCTTTTGCTTATATATTCTTTTGCTTATATTCTTTCATTATAAATTATCTAATTCATATATTTTCATACCTTATTATTTTTTTAATCTTACATAATGGGTTATAAACAAAGGAATTCTATTGTCAAAAAGACTATCGAAAAGTCAAACAACTATGATTCAAAAAATCGCAACTTTAGACCTTGCAATTGTGATATTTGTAAAGGTAAACTTGTTGACTCTCGAACAAGAAAAGCCCATATGGTAAAAAAGGAAATTCTGGCAAGAAATTATCTTGATATTGGAAAATCTTCAAGCAAAGTAGCAGCAACAATGGACTTTCCGGAAGTGGACCTTGACCTTCCAGAAGACCTTCCGGAAATAGACATGCAAACCAATAGCTCCGACAATGATTCTGCTGTTTCTTTGTTAGAAGAATATTATAGTTTTATTAGTAAAAGTCAATCTAAAAAAGGCAAAAACTGGTTGAAGGAAAGAGAAAATCACAATACTCTATTATTGAAGGTGACTTATTTTCTGATGAAGGAGAAATTTTAATCAAAGATTCTTTAGACTTCGAAGAGGAAGAATTAACTGACCAAGAAATTGACTTTGACTCACCAGAAGCATATAAAAATATAGAGATGCCTATAGAACTAGTAGACCCGAATGAAGGTTGTTTATATATTTATTTATTTATTTATTTAATTTATTTTATTTATTTATTATTATTATTATTATTTTAAAAAAAAGATTTTTTGTGTGTTGTTTTTTGGGTTTTTAAAAGCCAAAAAAGGTATCGGCAATCCAAGGTTGAAACTAATTCTTTGGTAAAGTTTCTTCATTATCTGCTGATTCTTAAGAATGAAGAAAAATATTTCTTTTTTCCTACTTCACTAAATATGGTGCGTAAGGCTCTTGGTGTCTGTACTCATATTATTAAATATGCAACATGTGAAAAATGTTGTAAATTATACAACATAGATGACGTGTCAACTGATAAACCTAATATAGTTTCTAAAGTAAACTATTGTACCTTCCAAGACCTTCCAAACTATCCAATGGTTAATATTTTTTTTTTTCTTTTTTTTTTCTCTTTTTAAAAAAAAAAATTAAAAATTTTTTTTTCAGTTTTTTTTTAAAAAAAAAATTAATATTTTTTTTTAAGGCCAATCAAATACATTCTTGCAATAATTTCATTGCAAAAAAAGTACCTATAAGCAATGGAATTATATATCAATCTCTTTAAAACACCAACTACAATTATTGTACAACCGAAAGGGTTTTGAGGAGTTTTGTAGAAAGTGGTCAGAGAGGCGTAACGGTCCTAAAAAGCTTACTGACATATATGATAGAAGAATCTGGAATATATTTCAAGATCCAAATGAAGATCTACTATTCTTCCGAAGGGACCTATCGGATAAATATCTATGATCGGTCAAAAGCTTCTAATGCAATTTCATGCTTATATCAAAGAAGCAAAACCTAACTGAAATGATACTATGCTATTTGCAGGTTTAAACATAAAATTTTCTGGAGACTTTATGCAACTCCCACCGTTACTATACTATTATATCACTACCCTAATATTAAAAAAACAACACTTTCAAAAATAAACTCTAAACAACAACAAATTTTACAATCAATTAACACTTGAACAGTAACAAATACCAGCAGCAAAGAATTATGGCTGTTAGTAAAACATGCTATTATTCTCAAGAAACAGATGAGACAAATAAACAATTCAACATATGCCTCAATTTTAGATAACTTGTAAAATAGCCAATTAACATCAACACAAATCGATCTTCTTTACAATCACATAATAACAAATGATGAAATAAACTCACCAAAATAGGAAACTGCTGTATTTTTGGTCAGAAGAAATGAACTACAAGTTCAGATAAACCTTGAATCTACCATAAAACATGCAAAAAACCATAAACAACTGATCTACTACATATATGCTAAGGATATGGGCTTGGTGCAGGAAAAAGGGCGGAAATTGACAAAAAAAAGATCTTCGGAAAATCAATTTTTATCATGTAAATCTTATACTAAATCATAAGAAAATGCAAATTTTAAGAAGCTATACTGCAAAATTTTATTAACACAACCACTTTTGTGTCTTAAGTTAAAAATGATCCTAACCTTATTTTAAATTGTTTTATGTGAAAAAACAACATTTGAAAAAATTGTCAATTTCTGCCCTTTTCTCAGCACCAAGCCCATATTTATAGAGATACATCAGGAGAATTAAATAAGTGCAAATCTGCAAAAACCTACGAAAATGCAGATTTTTGCAGAATTTTTTGCAAAAAACTGCAAAATTTTTTATATTTTGAAATTTTGTGCAGTACTGCATTTTAATTTCTGTAGCTATAGCTGGTGAGTCTGAAGTTTTGCACAGATTTTCATTTAATTTATTATTTAATTTTTTTGCAAATCTGTGCAGAATAGCACTAAAAAATTTCTCCCGATATAATATTCTTTGTAATAGCATAAGGTGAAAATTTCTTAGTGTTTCAAATACAAAATCGAATGCACTATGTGGAATATTGCACTTTCAATTAGTATGAAACTAATATTGACTGTTAATATTTGTGTTCGTGATGGAATGACTAATGGCGCGCAAGGTATCATATACAATAATACCACTGAATTGATTAAAAATACACATAATAATAAACCAAGAAATATAATTATTGACAAACCTCCGAAATATATCATAATCGAGCTTCTAAATCACACATCAGGTATATATGATAATCTTCTGTTTCAGTGTATCCTGTAAAACAAAAATACAAATATACACATAAAATAGAAAATAGCTTAAACATAATACGAGAATTTCAAAGAACTCAGTTATCTGTAACACTTGCTTTTGCATTTACAGAATTTAAGTGTCAAGGTGCAACATTGGAAAAAGCAATTGTAGACCTAAATGATAGTAAAATAAAATTAGGAGTTTATGTTATGCTATCACATGTACAAAAATTGCAAGACATTATAATACTTCGACACTTTACACATTCAAAACTTGATACGACTATTGAAAAAAATCTTAAAGAAGAATTTGAATGACTTGAAAAATGTTTTATTAAAACTAAACAATTAAATAAATAGCCAACTGTTTAATTCTGAAAACATAATATACCTAATTAAAAAAGCTAATTCACATTTGAAAAAATAATAATTTTTATGTGTTTTACTCAAACCATTTACAAAATACAATAACATAATAATACTACTACCTTCATTAAAAACTAAGCACAATTGATTTTCACATAAACATATACAAATAACCTATTAATAACCAAATAACTTACTAATAAGAAACCTGTGCAATTAGGGTTTAGGGCACAGGGGCACAAGGCATGCCCATGGCATGCCTCAAGTCCAAAAGGCATGCCCTTATCATGTGATATTTAAAGCCATTTTGATTGGCTAATAAGTTTAGTTAAAGTCAAAAACATAAATACTAAATCAATATTTAAGATTTTTAAAAAGTTGCAAACAATATTTAATTTAAAAAGAATATATTTGTATATAAGAGACATGACTTAGCTCTGGGTATATATATGAGTATGGTTTAATTTTTTTTCTATCCTAATCTTACTAATTACTGTTTTTATATTTATAATTGCCTATTATTATATATGTATAGAAGGGCATGCCCATAGGGCATGCCTTTAACCCAAGGCATGCCCTAAGGGCATGCCTAATTTTTAAAGCGTGCCCCGAACCCTACGTGCAATACATGAACAAAAATCATTATACCAATTCAAAATCAAATCAATAAAAACTTTACATTTTTTACATAATTTTACGAATAATATAACAATATATAATATAAATTCAACTTTTAAAATAAAATTGATTTTACTGCAATAACAAATATTATATACATTTAAATAATAACAAAACATAAAGCGCAATTCAACATCATAACGCAAAATACCATGAAATAACAAAAAAAAATAACAAAATACTGTCGAATACAAAGCAACGAAACATAGAAAAACTTAAAACATAAGCAAAAAAAGCTAAACCTTGATAATATTAAATTCTTATGATTTAGTTCTACGTTTTGTATTGTGTATAGTAGGCTAAATCTCTTTTCCTTTACCCTTATTTGTTTTTTTACTGTAATTAATCTCTTCCTTATCTTCAAAGATAATATTTCCACCACATTCACTACTACCTCTAACACGTTCATTATTATGTTCGAATGTATGTTTATTTTTACTACAATCTGAATCAACATACTCCACATAATTATCTGCTTCGTCATTAACTCTAACATGTTTTGAGCAACCGCTAACAGAAGAACCAACATACTCAATACTACTATCTGCTTTATCTTCCACTCTTTCGTGCTTTAAAAAATTATTATCACCAATAATTGGATCAGCTGAAGACTTGGACAATCTGAACTTTCAACAACTGAAGCCTTATTTAAACCTTCACAAGCACTTTGATGAGCAATAAAAAGTTTCGAACATACAGAACTATAACACCCTGAAGTAGACTCAGAACTAATAGAATCTGATACTTTTCTTTTAGTCACAAAAGGAACATCAACATAAAAAATATTAAAATTATTTGCATATAAATTACCCTTAAAAACTTCCAATTGACCCATAAAGAAAACAGACTCATTTGGCCAAATAGAACTTTTTAAATGCTTAAATCTACTATTTTGGTGTGGAAACACAACCTTAATGGTAAAATTATACTTTTTTTGCCCAGCATAATCTTTTACCAAAACATTAACAATCGCACTCTCCTTATTAAACTCCTTCATCACATCTTGAGCAATACTGACCAATGAAACCTTTAATGGACACCTATTCGAACCAAGATCCCTCTTAATTGTAATGTGAGTAGATGTTGAAACCGTTATCTAAATAAAAAAAATAAAAAATAAAAAAATCAACAATGCAACTTTTAATAACTAACATAAAAAATTCTTAAAGCAAATTACTTTTAATTTAAAATTATTATTGAAATTTTCGGGCACAACTTTGCCGCCAATGCAATAATACTCATCCTTTACAAAAATTGACTAAATATTAGGATCTCTCTCATCATCCTTTAATGGAACAAATCCAATTCCCGGTCTTCACTTTCAAGTGGATAAACACCCGTCGCCCAAACAATAGTCAAATTCAAATCTTCTCTGTCAGTCAAGCGAACTTGATTAACCCTAACAATCATATCAATATGACAAGACATCTTAAAAACTACAAAAAAAACAAAAAAAAAACTATAAAACAAAAAAAAAAAAAATCACTCGAATTTATAATAATCAGAAAAAAAAAAAAATATGACGACAAAATACAACAATAAAATTATCCCAAAACAACTAATCCGAACCAAAAAAATCTATTCCATTAAAATAAAAACAACAATTAAAACAATCAATCTACAAACAACAATATCGTCATTACTCATAACAACCGATTTAATAAAAAACAAAAATAAACTATATAAATAACAATATAATTATAATAAATCGCATACTGTACAAAAATCTTCCCATAAATTACTTGCCTAATAAAAATAAGACTAAAATACAAAAAAAAAATATTATCTTACCAAATCCGAATTAGTATAAAAAATACGCTATTAACCAATCACGTAATCTAGCAAACTTTATAAGCACATAAATAAAATTCAGCACAAATTACTAAAAAATTACAAAATACGAAATTAATCATTTTAAAATACCGCATAAATATTAAAAAAAATAACCACCTGAATAAAGTCTTAATCATATACAAAACTAATACAATAAATAGACTAGAGATGCAAAAAATGCGCATTTTATAATAACATGCGCGTAAATGCGCATTAATGCGCACGTTGAATAAATGCGCATAATATCGCATGATATAATTTTTTTAATTTTATATTTTCCCTCCGGAAAATATCAAAAATTTTTCCCCGACCCTTCTTATCTTTATATTCATTCATTTTATTTTCAGAATATTTCAAAACTTCTGCATTCCTGACATTATGCACCTTGGCCAAATTAAATATACTTAAATTTTCCTATATAAATTAAGATAGGATAAAATGTGCATGATTCCGAATCATGCGCACTAATGCGCATTAATGCGCAAAATTGAGGAATCATGCGCACGCATGAAACCCATCTCTAAAATGGACTATACAATAATCTGCATAACTGTCCTGCGTGGCGTCACACGTCGTGCAGCTATCTTGTTTATTTAATATAATATATTTTAAATAAACTTGTATATATATTGAATAATATAACAATTTTTTAGTTTGTTTTTAACATCTTTCTATTTTTTCATATCCTTTTGAAGAAGAAAAATCTAAAATAAAAAGCAATCTTGACAAAGCTAGTATAGGCTTTTAGTAATTCAATAGGTATTGATCTAGCAAATTAGATCTTCAAAGATAAAAGTATATATGTTGTACGTTGCTCTTAAATAACCGTTAATTCAAAATTAACGTCCCTGAGTTTAAAATTTCTACCGATTAAATGTAACATACGTAGTTTTAAAAATTATACTGATTAATATGTAACGTACGTCGTACGTCAATTAAACTCAAGTTTAATATAAGAGTTTAATAAATTAGATTGATTAAAAAAAAAAAATTTCTTTGTTGTTTTATCTTCCATAATATGGCTTCAAATTCTTCGCTAGTTTTTTCATTTCTTTCATTTAAAAGCTTTCAAAAAATTGTTAATGATTACATGAACATAGTGATTTGAACCGATTGAGCTCTAATCGGGTAACCAAACCGAACCGAGCAAAACTCGGTTAACCGATTGAATAAAGTTCTTAATCGGGTAACCCGGTACAACCGGTTGACTATCGGTTACCCGGTTAACTGATTATTAAAATCAAGATCAATACGTATGATAGATAAGTGACGCCAAGACTTGATTGATTTGCAATTGAATATCTGTTTAAAACTCGCATTTTTTGTGCAATTTGTATTATCTGAATGATGCAAAGGAATTGGGATTGAAGAAGGTGCAAATTTAAAATTACTTGACCAGTGCTTGATTCTATTTCGTTAACCTGGTTGATATTTTTTATGTCCGGTTGACACGGTTAAGCCGGATAACTCGGGTCAACCGCGTTAACCGAAATAATTCCGGTTAATCCGATTAGAATCGGTTGAGACGGTTCGGTTAACCGATTATTGATTTGATACTCGGTTCAAATCACTACATGAACAATAGAAAAACGAAAGACATATAATGAATCGTTTAAAGTATAATTGTTGCCTGGCTATTTTACGAAACGCGTCCAAGTAAACATGAAAATTAGAACTTAAAATATTGGGTTATTAATACCTTTAAATTAATTAAAGTCAAAAGTATCGATGAACTGAATGTTAAATCTGATAAACATAATCATGGTAGCAAATTGACATGTTATTCAGAACCGTCAAATGAGTTATAATCTTAATGGAAACCCAGAAAAAACGTGTTAAATTTGAAACCTGGTGATCTCGTAAAGATTCAGATTCCTGATATTAATTGGCTAAAAATGGATAGACGAGCATTGCAACTCATATCAAGTTGGAAGCAAGTTTGGAATTTTGCATATATGGTTTTCAGCAAACGAATTAGAACCCTTAGGTACTGATGAATTTCCTGCAATTTCAATGTGCAAATTTATTTCTTTACGAAATGCTAGTGCTCAACAAAACTTAACCCGGCCACTAAATATTACAAATGAAACATCCAACAAGGTTTAAAGAAAAATGATGGTTGTTATTGTAATAAAACAAATTGTGAAAGTAGGAGTTGTCTTGTCGTAAGAACAATGCTCTTTGTACTTTTCGCTGTGGCTGTATTGACTAAGGTACATGCAAAAATCATATAGTACTTAGCAGTTGTTTAATCTTCAACATGTGGATTTTAACAATCGTAATTGAAGTTAAATACAATAAATTATAAAAATAGTTTCGAATTTTTTTTTTTTTTTTTAATCAATAAAATCATACCGATACCGATTAAAATATGAAGTACAATTTAATTTTGAAGCTACGCACATCAATTTTTAATTGACAGAAATTTGAAAGTGACGTCTAACATATATATATATAATTTTTTTTATTTTTATTTTATTTTTTTTGTATGCTCTTTTTAATTTAATGAATAACTATAAATTTAATTATCATCTTCGAACCAACTATTAACCTTAATTTCTTTTTGAATTCTTAAATTCTAATAGATTGCGACAAGTTTTTTTTTACCGTTCATTATTTAATAACTTTTTTGGCATCAATATTAGAGATCTTTTAATTAAGCGACTAAATCCACAAAGTCCTCTTCATAATAGTTACACTTTTGGCAAGACATAGTTTCAGTAACTTTTGTAAAGTTCAAGCGAATTTCTTTTAATGGAAGTCTCCTACAGAGCATAATTTTATATTTTAAAAAGAGATAATGATAAAGTTGTATTTTGATGAAATTAAATAAATAAATACTATCGCATTGTTATGTATTATGATTATGTCAGAATGTACTGTATTAAATCATTTAAAAACAGTTTTAAATTAAATAAACATGTTTAAAACTTTTTCTATCCCTAGTTTCATGCATGCTCATGTTTTTGTGTCTCAAACCTTATTTTATTTGAAATCATAAATAGAAGATTGTAATCAAAGAATAAATTTTGAGCATTAATCAACAAGTTTCTTTTAATCAAACATTCATCCAACATTAATTAAAAAACTAAGTGCACACACATGTCTGAGTGTTAAGTTTTATAAAAAGATGTTTAGATGTACGGATAACATAATGATATTGCAACATGCAGAAGTACCAGAATAAATAAAACTATTTAACAATCTGATTTTGACTTTATAATTTAAGAAAAATCAATTCAATCTCTAATCACAAGTAATTCTATAAGTTAGAGAATATATAAATATAGAAGTGCTTAATTATTCTGAAATGTTAATAAAATATTTGAAATTTACTGCAAAAATAATATAAAAAATTTTGATTTCTTTTAATAAAATTATGACTTAAATGGTTTTCTATTAATAACAAATTTTGAAGTATAATTTATACAATACCGGACAGCGAAAACCATCCATTTTTTTCAGCATTGTTTAAAGTCTAATAACTTCACAACAAGTAATTATTTTAAAAATCCCTCTTACAAATTTTTTATTTGTAACCTAAACTACAAATCTGTAAGACATATTTTTGATATCTTGCTTTTTAAAGAAGTTATAAGGATTTAAAGTTCAGCAACTTTTATAGTAAAGCAGAAATTTGGCGCAGGACAATTGACCAATCAGATTGATACAAATCACGTGCTCATAATTTGATTGGTTAATATTTATTATTAAAAATCCAAAATTTGATGCTTATTATATAAAAAAAGTATTTTTATATTTTAACCAATCAAAATTTTGGTACACAAAAATTAGCCAATCAGAATTGTTATAAAATTCTCAAATTTGGCGTCCTAAAAAAAAATGGATGGTTTTTGCTGTCCGGTACTGTATAAATCTCATAACTTATTATATTACAAAGTTATAATTTTTTAATATTTGGGGAGACAATAGAAAGAGAAACTTTTTTCATGTAGAAATTTTTTAATTTCAAGTTAAAATATCTTAACACTATTAGACCAAATTTAATAATATTTTTTAATTAATTCTATGTAGTTATAAATTAAACCAAATTTTTATTAAATTTGATTTGATTATTAAGATATTTTAAGTTAAAATTTAAAAAAAAGTTATTTAAATGATTTGTATTTGTCCTTTATTTAGCATTGTATTAATCTAAATTTGATAAAATTTTATATTTTATCTTTATAAATTTGCTTATTCATTTTTTTAATTTCAAATTTAATAAAATAAGAATTAGTATTTAGTTTTAATATTATAAAAAGTCTGGGTTGTTTATAAGCTAAAATTAACAAATTTAAAAATAAATTTTAAATAAAAGTGTATTGATAAACTTTTTAAATATTAGTTTTATACTTATAGATATCAATACATACAAGATTATAGGTTATATAAAAAATATCAATTTTTATTATTATATCTTTAGTGATTTATTTATAAAAATGTAACTGACAAAAATATTTTTTTCACAATTTTACCCAAACTCCAACTCTAATTCTAACACGAGCCTTAACCCTAATGCTAATCCTTGTTCTAATGATATTCCATTTACTGCTATTAACACATGGGCATGGAGGCTTATAAATCTAATAATT